CACACACACACACACACACACACACACACACACACAGAGCAGTGGGCAGCCATGTTTGCTGCAGCGTCCAGGGAGCAGTTGGGGGTTCGGTTCTTGCTCAAGGGTCTCTCCTCAGTCGTGGTATTGAGCATGGAAGAGAGCGCTGGTTATTCACCCTCCCCCACCAACATCCCTGCCGGACCTGAGACTCAAACCCATGACCTTTGGGTTACAAGTCCAACTCTCTAACCATTAGGTCACGACTGCGATATACAGACGTGCAGAAGAAAGAAAAAACACTAACTCCTAACCAAATACTAATTTTAAAGCATGCTAGAAACCAATTTACACCCTCAGTTTAAACTAGCATCACCAAACAGCATTTTTTTTTTTACCGTTTTATGCATTGTGGATGAACTTTTAAAATTATTTGAGCCTTTTGCAATTTATCTTTCATACCTGGGGAACAACTACTATACTGAATCAAAGCCCGTCAACAATTTTAAGGAATAAACATCCAATAAGTCGGCTTCGCCTCAGCCTTGCTAAAAACCTAATTTTACAACATATTTTCGGAAATACCTTTCTAGCCATAAAATCACCTGTTAATTTATTATCTATTAAACAACTCACATAATTTAAATTTTTTTGACTCTATTACCATATTGTTAATCTTAACCAAAAAAGTTCATCCTTTTTTAATTTCATTCCAGTTTTACCTATGTGTAGAGAAAGTTTATTGTATAGAAACTAGTGCTGTCAAACAATTAATTGTGTATTGTGTATATTTATTTATTAATCATTTGACAGCACTACTAGAAACCATTTTGACATCTCTTGTAACTACAAATTCATCATTTTCTCCAGGACCTCTTTATCTTGATGAAATACTGAAATTGCTGCATCATCAGCATAAAGAAAAAGTTCCTCTGAACATGCTGCTTTAAGATCATTTATATATAAAAGAAAAAAATAAGGGACCTAAAATACTCCCTTGAGGAACTCCACAATTAACAGATAAAGGACCAGACAATATACCCTTAACATCGACTCTCTGGCTTCTGTCATCAAGACAGGACTGAACCCATCAAACCCAACTGCCTTTAATTTATACAATAAAATCATGTGGTCTACAGTATCGAATGCTTCCTGAAGGTCCAACATAACCATCCGACAAAATCTGCCACTGTCAACAGCTTTCCTTATTCAGTCAGTCATATGTAATATACAAGTCTCAGTGGAACTTAAAGGCCTAAAACCTGACTGCGACTCACACAAAATATTTATACTTAACACTTATACTGAAGATATTCAAAATTAAAGCTCACTTCAAACTTTCTAGCTAGGCTTCCTCAATGCTTGTCTTTTTTCATCTAGTTGCGTGTTAAAAGATGTTGGTGTATGTTTGTTTCTCACCTTTATTCCTGCAGTCCTGCAGCTGGAGACCGAGACCCAAACCCAAACCCAGAATGATCACC